ATGAGGGATGGGCCGACATTGGCGGGGGACGCATGCGGACCCTGCCACTGAGGCTGCCGGTGGAGCTCATATTGGGCCGCAATCCTCGTGAATGGTGTGCCGAAATGGGGCGGGGGGGGGGCGCATGCGGACACTGCCACTACGGCATTCGGTAGACCTCCCTTTGCGGCCACGATCGTAATGAGTGGAGTGGTGGGCGCATGTGGACCTGCCACTGGTGCCTGCGGCGAAGCTCCCTATGTGGCCACGATCCTCGTGAGGGGTTGTGCCGACGTAGGTGGGGATGCGGACCCTGCAACTGGGGCCTTCGGTGGAGCTTCCTATGGGGACACGATCCTTGTGAGGGGTGTGCCGAAATGGACACGCGGAGGACAGAAGCACGGATGGGAGGAGGGCGGAGGGGGCAGCGGGAAAAGGAGTAGAACACGGCGCTACGGATTCAAAACGGGGGCCCAACACCACAAGATGGACGGGAACAAACAAAACTGACCTTGCACCTTCCGAGGACGTCCTTCCGTAATTCCACGACCGCACGCCATCAAAGTATATACCTGGGGACTTGGCCCGAATCGAGTCCACGCGAGGATGTGGAGGGGAAAGATGCAGAAGCCGAGGAAGAGAAGAGTAGTGGGAGAAGGGGGGAGGAGAGGAGCAGGAGCGGAGGGATTCAGCAGCACGAGGAGAACGAGGTATAAAGGAGGGGGGTAGAAGTCTGAGGAGGAACAGCCCTGACAATGAGCCAGTCTTGAGATATGCTGCCAGCGGGTGTGACGCACGATGATACCCTCAGCACTTCTCCCGCGCGCCTTCCCAGAGGCGAGGTCGGAAAAAACACACGGCGCAAAAAAACGTGCGTACAAAGCGTTGCGAACGCTGCACCCGGGAGCACGGAAAAGAATGACCATGAACACCATGAGCCGATCCAAGGTCCATGAGCCGCTCCAGGGTGGGCAGCCGAAATGTAACTCGAGAACGGGTAGTCGGGCGGGGGAGGGCTCACCAGGTGAAGCCCCGCTGCTCCGGCCCGCCTCTAACGCGCCTGCGGGTCTTGAAATCGCACACTCATGGAGCTGGACGCTGCCGGCGGCTCCGTTGTCGCCAGGGACGAGCTGAAGAGACTGGAAGACTCAAGGAGGATGAGGAGGACGAGGAAGTCGGTGAGCAAAATATATTCGGCCTCCAAATCTCTTCTGGAGGCCAGATCTGGAAGCCTCGTCCAACTTGTCCTTTGCGATGATCGCTCAATGGTTGCTGCCTCTGCCACTGTTTCTGCTGCCCGGAACCTCGAGCAACGCGAGACCACACGATCCCCAACACAGTGAATGCATATGCTTCAGCATGCCTCGGCCGCAACAGTGCTGGCACATAAGGATGTGCAGCCACACTCTCAGAGCACAAGCAGCCGACGACACTATCGAGCATTGCCTCCTTGCACTTCCAGCTCGAACTCGACGTCGACCAGGGTAAATAGATTTCGAACTCGGGCTCCACCGTCTCGACCTCGGCCTCGACCATCAAGCCCGCGGCATCTCGACATCGACTAAGATCCCACATGATGGCGCAAGCGACTGCATGCTGCCATGAGGCCTAGTAATGCCAACGCCTGCCGCCCCTGCCCAGCCCATTCACACGCAGAGACTCCAGCACCGCAGCAGATGATGTCTGGCTCCACATTGTCTTCCAACAGGTCCCTCAGCAACAGCAGCGCCTGTCGCCACTGCCCACCCTTATGACACGCGATGATTCCGGCACTGTAGCTATTCAGTTCAATGTCCAGTTCTGCCTCCCGCGAATCCATGAGCACCGACAGAGCATGCTGCCACTGTCCGCCTTTCTGGCAAGCGCTGACTGCAGATATATAGGTTGTGATATCCAGCTCCAACCTCGACTCCTGCACTTCCCTCAGTAAAAGCAAAGCTTGAAGCCACTGGCCACTCTGCTTGCACACATTGACTCCAAGACCGTAGGCTACGGTGTTCAGCTCGATTCTCGAGTCCCGCAACTCATCGAACAACAGCGCTGCTTGCTGCCATTGACCCCACCGTACACAAGTAGACATTGTAACAGTTTGGCTCATCGCATCCAGCTCTACATTATGTTCGCACATCTGCCGCAACAACGCCACTGCGTGCTGCCACTCCCCGCCTTTATTGCAGGCGCTGAGTGCAATACAGTAGCTGATCACATCAGGCTCTAGCTTACCTTCCACTAGATCCCTCAACAGAGCCAGCGCGTGCTGCCACTGCCCGCACTTCTCGCACGCATGCATCGTTCCAGCGAAGCTTATGACATCCGACTCCACCTTCGTGATAGACATCTCTCTCAGCAACCACATGGCTTGCGGCCACTGCCCACTTGCCTTGACTGCGCCGATTGCCACATTGAAACCGGATACGCTCGGCTGCATGTTCGAATCACACATCTCCCTGAACAGTGCCAACGCCTGCTGCCACTGCTCGCAACTCCCGCACGCGATGATTCCGGCTTCAAAGCTGGTGGTGTCTCGCTCCAACTTAGCTTCAACCATCTCCCTGAACAACACGAGCGCCTGCTGCCATTGACTGCCCTTCCCGCACGCGCCAATTCCAGCAGTGCAGAAGATCACATTTGGCTCCAGGTCGGATTCCCTCAGCTTCCTCAACAGCGACAATGCCAGCTGCCACTGTCCACCTTTTGCGTAAGCTTTGACACCTGCGTGAAAGGTAAGAGCGTCAGGCTCCAGACTCTGTTCCTTGAGTCCGCCCAGCAGCGACAACGCGTGCTGCCACTGCTCGCCCTCCCCGCACGCACTCACCGCCGCGGTGTAGCTGGCGATGTTCGGGCCCACGGCTTCGCACGACTCTCTCAGCAGCACGAGCGCCTGCTCCCACAGCCCGCCTTTCCCACAGGCGCTGATCCCAGCTTTGTAGTTGATGGCGTCTGGCTCCAGCCTCAACGCCGGCAGCTTCCGCAGCAGCGACAGCGCCTGCTGCGACTGCCCAGCCGTCTCGCACGCGCGGATTGCGGCACTGATGCTGATGGCGTCTGGCTCCAGCCGGGTGTCCCGCAGCTCCCTCAGCAAGAGCAGAGCCTGCTGCCACTGCCCGTCGTCCTGGCACCCGCTGATTGCTGTGTTAAAGCTGATTACGCTCGGATGCAAGCCCTGTGCCAGCAACTCATTCCACAGCGTCAGCGCGTGCTGCCCCTGCCCACATTCGTTGCACGCACTCATTGCAAAGTTGTAGCTGACTATATCGGGCGCCAGTTTGGTCTGGACCATTTCCCTGAACAATGACAAGGCGTACTGCCACTGCCGACCTTTCTCGCACGCGCGGATCCCTGCGTGGAAGCTGATGAGGTCCTGCTCCAACTTATCGTCAGACATGTCTCTCAGCAACGACAGGGCCTGCTGCCATCGCCCGCCTTCCCCACATGCGCTGATTCCAGCACTGTAAGTGACGGCGTTCGGTTCCAACGTCATTTCCCGCAGCTCGCTCCACAACGACAACGCCTCCTGAAACTGCCCACCTCTCTCGCACGCGCTGATTCCAGCACTGAAGCTGATGATGTCAGGATCCATATTTGCGCTGCGCAGTTCCCGCAGCAACGACAGTGCCTGTTGCCACTGTCCACCTTTCGCGCAAGAGCTTATTCCAGCGTTGTAGCTGATGGCATTCGGTTCCACCCTGCCTTCGCGCAATTGTCTTAACAATGACAATGCATGCTGCCACTGCCCAATTTTCTCACATGCACTGATGCCAGCACTATAACCGATGACGTCAAGATCCATCGTTGCTTTCAGCGCTTCGGTTACCAAAGATAACGCGTGCATCCATTGTGTGCCTTTTCCGCACGCGCTAACTCCAGCACTGTAACTGATAACGTTCGGTCTCAAGCTCCATTGGCGCATATCCCTTAGAAGTGACAGTGACTGCTGCCATTGCCCAGCCTTCTCGCACGCGCTGATTCCAGTACTGTAGCTGACGACGTTCGGTTCAAGCTCCCGTTCCCTCAACTCCCCCAACAACAACAACGCCTGCTCCCACTGACCGCATTTCTCGCATGCGCTTAATCCAGCACTATAGCTGATGACGTCCGGCACCAATTTAACCTCACCAAGCTCCGTCAGCAAAACCAGTGCAAGTTGCCACTGCCCACCTTTCGCGCACGCACTGATTCCAGCATTGAAGCTGATCACGGTTGGCTCCACTGCCTCTTCACACAACTCTCTGAACAATGCCAGCGCCTGCTGCCACTGTCCGGCTTTCTCGCACGCGCTGACTCCAGCACTGTAGCTAAAGACATTCGGCTCCAACTCATATTTGCACATGTCTCCCAGCAGCGACAAGGCCCGCTGCCATTGCCCACCTTTCTCGCACGCGCTGATTCCGGCACTGTAGCTGAAGACGTTAGCCTCAATGGCTGCCTCGCTTAAGTCCATGAGCAGGAGCAGTGCCTGCTGCCACTGCGCACACCTCGAACAGGCACTAATCCCTGCACTGTTGCTGACAACACTAGGCTCGAGCTCAGCGTCCCTGGACTCCCGCAGCAACCACAACGCTTGCTGCCACTGCCCGCTCTTCCCACAAGCTGCGGTCGCTTCTACGAGAGTGACGGCACTGATCTTCACGCGCGACCGCAGCTCGTCGCGAAACGTCTCTAGGGCAGCACCCCACTGCTTTGCGATGCCATTCCTCTTCACAAGAACCGCAACTGAACTGGCACCTAATTGCGATGCTGATGTTCCAACATGGCACATACTCTACGCCATTTCAGCGCAGCCGGCCTTGGAAGCCCAGTGATCGGGGCTGCTAGGCTGCACTCCAACACATGGCACTCAACGGCAATGCTGAATATGATGATGGCATCGGCGATACCAACCAAACAAAAAGACTGACGGCCCTTGAGCCAAAATGGCTACGGATAGAAGTCTGAGGAGGAAGAGGAGGAGGAGGAGGAGGAGGAGGAGGAGGACGACGACGACGACGACGACGACCACGACGAGGGCTCGCCTCCTGGCGTTAGGCGGCGTCAGTCCACGATCTCCCAAGACCTAGGCGGCGGAGGGAGAGGAGGTGGAGGTGGAGGAGGTGGAGGTGGTGGAGGAGGAGGAGGAGGAGGAGGAGGGGGAGCAGCAGGAAGAGGGTGGATGAGGACGAGGAGGGCGACAACGAAGTCGACGAGGAGAAGGTAGAGGAGGAGGGGCAGCAGCAGGAGGATGATGAAGAGGGAGGAAGAAGAGGAGAACGACGACGAGTTCGACGACACGGCGATTCCGACGCCGACGACCGCAATGATGTACCAACAACGGCATAAGCATAAACCGATTCCTGGGGTCAGAGCTGGACCATCCTTTCCTGGCGCGCGAAGCGCAGCGCGCTGGGAGGCGCCGCCAATGGTGGGGGGCCAGCGCCAACCCAAGCAATCCGCGCGGACCCTTCGCATGTGAATGCTCTCCGTGCCCCTGCTTCCGACGATGACGATGACGAGGAGCCCTCGGGCCCCCCGACAGGTCGGCTGGGCAGCGAGGGGCACCCCTGTGCCCCGGGCTTGATGGCGGCCGCCGCGCCCGGCGCCGGCGCCCCGCCGGGGCACTGGCCCGGCCTCGCGATGGGGGGGCGGTTGCCCGGGGCTGCCCTGGCAGGGCTGGCGTCGGGCGGACGGGATGGATGGCAAAGTCGGCGGCGAGCCGCGAGGGGCAGGAGGGACGGGTCAGGCCGTGGTCCCAGACCCCCTCGAGTCACGAAAAGTCATGACGGGCGGTTTTTCACTGTTCTCGGCATCTGGAAGCCCTGAGGGGGTCTGGGGGCCGCCAAATAACGACTCGGGGCGAGAAATCGGTCCCGGGGAATGGCTCGAGAGCTCTGGGGGTCGACGTGGTGAAAAAATCATGACGTCGGGGGTCTGGGTCAGAGGGCGGCGGGACTTGCCAGAAGACCTGGCGCCTTTCTCCACGGCCACGGACGGCTTCTCAGGAGGCGCGAGGACTTCTGGGAAGCCCCGCCACTTTCTGAGAGGGCCTGGACCCTCTCCTGCCATTCCTTCTCCTTTGGCTAACTCCTCCCTGTTGCGCCCCAAGACGTGTCATCAGGGCGTCCTGGGCGTTTCGCCTGCGACTTCCTCATCGTTTACGACCCTGAGCTTCAAAAATTGCAGGAGCTTCACGCCTTGCGCTGCGCGCATTCGTCTGCGCTACGCCTGTGCGCTGCGAGCTGGCGGGCGGTTTTGAAAATGTGGCTCTCGCCTTTGCGCTGCGCGCATACGCCTTACAAGCTTGCAAGAGTTTCACGGATAGAGCGCGGGCGGTTTTCAAAATGTGGCTCTCGCCTGAGCACCGCGCATATTCATCTTCAAAGTTTGCAAGAACTTCACGGATGGAGGGCGGTGCCTTTTTAAAATGTGGCTCTCACTTTACCGCCACGCGCATTCGTCGTAAGAGTGTGCAGCAAGGTTGAGAATTCTCATGGTTGACGTCCCAGGGATGCTGCTTTCGTGTGATGTAGGACTGTCAGGGCGCAACAATCACGTTGATTCGCTGCATTGAAGTCCCATGAATGGAGTTCTGGTGCGCTCAGGATCGTCAAGACGCAGAAGTTACGTTGACCAGCGGCTTTGAACTCTCAAGAATGGTGTTTTGGCACGGTTCCGGATTTTCAAACAGACGTCTTCCAACGGGGCACTTCCCTCAGTGAACAAAATCTGAATAGGGAACTTGGAGGGAGGGTGTATTGCAACATCGTTGACGAGTCTTGGGTTTACACTCCTCCTCCTCCTCCTCCTCCTCCTCCTCCTCCTCCTCCTCTTTCTCGTAGTCATCCCTATCTTCCTTGGCGAATTAGCTGTGTGCACGCCGCGCCAGGGGCGGCCACGGTATCTGGACGAAGGCCTGGCGGCGGAGCCGAAGCCAGCTGCGTGCAGTATCTGGAGGGAGGGACGGGGGGCGACTCAGAGGAAGAAGAGGAGGCTTGGAGGGGGGAGAGGAAGAGGGAGAGGATCAAGAGGAGGGAGAAAGGAGGCGGAAGGAGGGAGAATACCACGACGACGACGAAAAGACGACGACGAAGACGAGGAGGACGACGAAGCAGACAACGACCACGACCACAACCACCGATCGACCAAACGACCGACGACCGCGACCGACGGCGCCAACTGACGAACGACGACGGACGACTACGATCCCAGGCCTGACCTGGAGCGCACGCTGACCAGAATTCTGGGGCGGATCCAGCCGTGGCCACGAAGACGACCCCAGAGGCCGAGAACGGTCGCCAAAACGCCGCAAGAACATCATTCATTCCACGAACCTCGATCCTCGCACGATGGCCGCGACGACGACGACGACAATGACGACCCCTGAACCTGGTCCTCGAACGAATAGGACGAGGAGGAGGAGGAGGAGGATGATGAGGAGGAGGAGGTGGAGGACGAGAACGATGGCGCAGGCGGGGACGACAGAAACCGGACCACGGACGACGGACCAACGACGACGACGACGACGACGTCTGCGGCTACGGAGGAACCGACGAACAGCCGACCACGGACGACGAACCACGAACGACAGACCGACGAGGACGACAGACCGACAACGACGACGACGACGACGACGCCGCAACCGCCGACGACGACGACGACGCGACGATGACGACGGCAGCGGCGTCGGCGGAGGCGGCGGCGGCGGCAGGCCCAGACCTCCGACATCATGATTTCTCAAGCCGTGCAGCCCTGGAGGTCTTGACCCCCTCCCCGGGGCCAGCGTCTCGTCCCGAGCAGCCTCTTGACGCTCCAAGTAGGCACCCGCAGGGTCAAGCGGCCAAACGACCTTCCGCCGTGTGTCGCCGCGGCTCGAGGAGGCCCTGGGGGGGGAAAGAAAACGGGGATCATGGCCAAAGCCGAGCGCGGAAACGTCGGCGTCGCTGTGGGCAATCGTCCATATCGGTCATCGTCAGTTCGTGCATCATCCTCGCGGATCAACGGCGGCCGGCATGGACCATGACCACAATCCGCGTCGAGAAGATCCCGCGACATCTTCGTCATGCTTGGTGTCTGTTCCAAGGAGGCCCACGTGGCCCCCGGGACTATCCGACTTGGGCCTGATTTGAACCGGATTTGGAACACATGCTGGACCTGACTTGGACCGGACTTGGGCCAGAAGGGAGACGAGAAGCAACAGGAAGGGCGAGGAGGAGCAGGAGGAGGGGCCAGATGCGACCCACATGCGGCCAAACTGCGGGGAAACCTGACTTTGATGCCGCCGCCCAGGCCTCCCATGAACCGACACCGACGTCATAGTCATCGTGTTTCTTCCCACCAGCGGCGGCAGTGGCGACGTCGGCGACGACCCCCAGCCGCGCCTGGGGCCCTCGTGCGCCCGCGCCGGCGCGGCGGAAAGGGTGGATGGCAAAGTCGGCGGGCAGACGCGCATGGCCGATCCCAGAAACCCTGAACCCAAAAATGCTGTAATCTCGCGGGGGCGCATCTTTCACTTTCGCCGCCTTCCGCCGAGCTTCCGCCAGCGGAGCCGCCGCCCTCCCGCCGCCTTCCGCTGGGGACGAGATGGCAAATCCTTCGATCCTCGAAGGCGGGACCATGTCTGAGACGCCCCACACAGCACAAGTACGGCTGGGCAGTGGCGACCCAAGACCCCCGACGTCATGACAATTTTCGCGACGGAGGTCCTGAGCCGTCGTTTGATGGCCCCGAGGCCCGGTCAGGGCCCCCAGAGGCCGAAACTAGCAACAAAACTCCCGCCGCGACTTTTCGCGGCGCGAAGGGGTCTGGGACGACCGACGACCGACGACCGACGACCCCGGGCCACGCCTGGGGCCCTTCTGCGCCCGCGCCGGCGCGGCGGCGGACCCCCGGCTCTGCGCGGCGCCCTTGCCGGCGCCCCAGTCGCCCGGGCCGGCGCCGCCTGCGGCGGCGGCGGAGGACGTCGTCATCGGACCGAGGCATGGGCAGCGTGCTGAGCTCCGGGGCACTTCGCGCGAAGAGCGCCCATCGCCGCCGCCGTCGGCGACGCTCGGCTCAAGCCGCCTCGGCCCCGTGGGCGCCTCGAGGGCTCCCGCGGGCGGCGCCCTTGGAGTCGAGAGGACCTGCCTCCCACGCCACCGCAAGCTCACACGCCAGATCGGGGGCGGGAGAAAGGGGGAGGGGAGGTGGAGGCGGGGGGGCGGAGCAGGAGGGGGGACAGGAGGAGGAGGAGGCGGAGGAGGGCGAGGTGCGACGAGATACGGCAGCGGCCTGAAGCCAGTGCGTGGGCACGTCTGGCCCTCGGCCGCCTCGCGGGGTCCGAGGCGCCGTCGCCTGCCTCCGAGGCCGGAGCAGATGCCTCCTCTGCTCCCGAGAGGAGGCGCTCCCCAAGGGCGTCTGGCGAGGGAAGGTCCGCCTCGGACAAGCCAGAAGCGCCCAGCACCAGCGCCCTGGGATCGGCGGGAAGGGTGCTGCCAGGACGCACGCCCGGCTCCCGCGGACCCGACGCACCCTCGGCGACGGGACAGGAGGCGGAGAAGGAGGCGGAGGGGGGAGGGGGGAAGGGGGGCGAGGAGGCGAGCACGGGGAGGAGAATCGAAAAAGATAGGCGATTGGGGGCAGGTCCGAGGTCCAAGAGGAGGATGGCCTATATCAACGAGGGGTCAGTTGGCCACCAAGCAGGCGATTTACACTGATAAGATGATGGATACGAGTAACATGCTAGTGACGGTGATGAGGGGCGTGAAAGTCTGACAAGATCTCCCGATCGAGTTTGTTCGCTTAGTAGCGGGGCGCACGCTCGCGAGAGCGGCGGAACGAAACAGAGCGGCTGAACCGATTAGCGGCCCAGCAGTATTCTTCAAAGCTGGGCAGCGGAGTGCACAGTCTCTCTATGGGGTGGGAAAACAAAGGGCATCCATGATGGCGAAGCTGAGGATGGAAAACAATTAATGCGACTCTGCATTCCACAATGAAATGCTCACGTGCACGATGCAGATGAACAGGAGAATACTCGACGTGCTTTGTCGGATTGCGTCTGATCTAGAGTTGAACTTACTGCATTGTACGTCATCAATCATCAAGCCTTGCGTCGCATTCATTCTGCATCCTCTTCACCTAAGCCAGATCCTGGTTGAGCAATTGCTCGCATTCTTCGTCAGTTTCCCCGCGAGCCTTTGCTTCGACAGTGAGTCCCCTCAGCTCCGGCCAAATAGGTTTCCTCTCCTGCATCAGTTGCGAGATTTCCAACAGCGCTTTCTCTGCTTCCACGCCAGTCTTGGGGAGACAACTGCCTCTGGCAACGTTGAGCAAACTGTTACGTCAGGCCTTCCCAGGTCTGTACCGATCCAGCAGCAGTGGCGTTCAATAGGTCTGTGTCGCAGTCCTCTGGCAACTGACAAAGCGCGCGGTGCCATCTGTCTCAAAACTCTGATCTGTGTAGTTAGCTACCGGATGTGAACCCTGTGTCGGTCAATGTCCAAACAACAGCACGCACGGTAGCGCGAACTCGGGCTGGCAGCACGAGCTGAGGCTGCACTGGGAATCTGCCCATTCACATCTGCTATGAAAATGGGTTGATTCCAAATGGCTACGGCAGGTTCGTGTCGTGACGACCCCAGCGTTGGTTTCTGACACTGCGTGGATCGTTCAACCTTGAACGATCGGCGGCTTTTCGACCGCCCGATCGTTCCATGTAGGCCGATTCTGGGCCACTGGTGGCGTTCAACCTTGAACGCCCGCGACGGGGTCGCCGCCAGTCGACACAACGCGAACCTACCGTACGGGGCCTTTCATGCACTGCAATTTTGAAGGATGAGACCCCTCCTTGGGGCCGCCCGTGGGCTCTGCCTAGGGCGTAGGATGAGCTGCTCCACAACAGCCAGCGGATCAGGGCCCCGCTTCCCCTTGGTGTGACAACTGTGGGTCAGGGTGCCGCGCTTGTGTGTGTGTGTTCCCCCTGCGCCGCGATGGTCCCCATTCTGATTTCTCTCTGCAGAAACCGGACGAAGTTAGGGCCCTCCTTGCCGTCGGTGGGCCCACCCAGCAAGACATTACTAAATGGACAGCCTCCCCAGCCCCTGCGAGGTCGTGGGGAGGCCCAACTCCGCACGCGATTGCTCTTCTTTGTAAGGACCCTTGCATTTCAGGCTTCGGGGCATGTTCAAAGACAGCGCGTTTCGCCACTCGGAAACCGCTCGGCCTTTCGCCTCCTCCTCTCCTCTCTGTCTCCCGTCCCTCGCTCCGAGCGCTGGCCCGCGCCTCTCCTCGAGCGGCGTGGAACGTGCAGCTCGGGCAGGCGGGGCTCCTCCTCCTCCTCCTCCTCCTCCTCCTCCTCCTCCTCCTCCTCCTCCTCCTCCTCCTCCTCCTCCTCCTCCTCGTTCTGGATTGCGGTGCAGGTGGAGGCCGAGGACGTATGCCCCGACACCCAGAAGCCTCCGCCCAAAAGGCAAGGCGCGCCGCGGGAGGGCCCCGAGGAGCGAGGAGGCAGCAGCCGACTCCAGATTTCGTAATAAAGGGAGGGGGGCCTCACTTCGGCGGGGGTCTTTTCCAAGCTATCTTGGAGGGCCTGGGGGGGTCTTGGGACGATGTTTTGGAGGGTTCTCCCACGGGGGAGGTCTGAAACGGCTTGTCTTGGAGGGTCCAGACCCCCTCCCTTTTATTACGAAATCTGGAGTACCCGTTCCGGAACGACTGGCACTCCCAAGCAGTGTCCACCTCTTGGGGGGCCGATTGCTGCTTCGGCCGGCCTCCGCTGGCGGGAGGCCGCCCTCGCTCTGCGCCCGCCGGCCCTCCGCCGGCCTCCCGCCGAGGCGGAGCGACGCCGACCCCTTGTCGACCCTGGAGCCCTGGCGTCCTGCTTGTTGTCACGTCGGCCCCAGAAAGGCCTCGACACCGAGCCGTGCTTGACGGCCCCGGGGCCCCGCAAGGGCCCCCCCCCCCCAGACGCCGAAGCTGGCGAAAAGCCGTCCGTCGTGATGGAAGGGGCCCTGGGACACACAAAGAAATAGACACAAGTAAAAGGATCTGCCATATTTCCCATCGTTTCTTGGATTCTGCCTTCCCCCCCACTTCCCACATGTTCTGGGAAATCGACGATGCATCCTGTCTGTGTGCTTTTTTCCCTCCTGCGTGCTCGCGTCACGACTCCAGGGGGTCCGGGGCCCTCGGGCGGCGGCGCGGCCCCTTCTGGCGGCGCCCGCCGCCGCGCGCGAGCCGCAGGACCTCGAGCGCCCGCGCGGCGGCGACGCCGCCGCGGGCGCTGCGCCGGCCCGCGGCGCGGCCTCGAGCGGCGCCTCCAGCAGCGGGGCGGCGCGGCGGAGCAGCAGGGCGGCGCGCCCCTCGTCGCCGAGGGCGCGGGCCGCGCGCGCGAGGGCGCCGAGCGTCACGCCCACCTCGCGGTGCGAGGGGCCCAGCGCTCGCTCCTGGATGGCCAGCGCGCGCTCCTGCAGCGCCGCCTGCCGCGCGGGCTCGCCCAGGGAGCCCTCCGCCTCGCCCAGCGCCCGCAGCGTGAGGGCGACCTCCCGGTGCTCGGGGCCGAACTCCCGCTCCTCGATGGCGAGGGCTCGCGCCTGGAGCTCGCGCTGGCGCGCGGGCTCCCCCAGCGCCCCGAGCGCGTTGCCGAGGCTCCGCAGCGTGTACGCCGTCGCGGGGTGGTGGGCGCCGAACTCGCGCTCGTCGATCGCCAGCGCCCGCTGCAGCAGCTCGCGCTGGCACTCGGGCTCGCCCAGTGCGCCGTGCGCGTTGCCGAGGCTGCGCAGCGTTGGGGCGAGCTGGCGGTGGTGGGCTCCGAAGTGGGCCTCCTCGATCAGCAGGGCCCGCTGCAGCAGGCCCCGCTGCGCCTCGGGCCTGCCCAGCGCCCCGAGGGCATCGCCCAGCCCCCGCAGGCTGAGGGCCACCTCCGGGTGGTCCGGGCCGTACGCGCGCTCCTCGATGCCCAGCGCCCGCTCCAGCAGCTGCCTCTGCGCGCCGGGCTCCCCGAGGGCGCCGAGCGCCTGCCCGAGGTCCCGCAGGAGCGGGGCGGTCTGCCTGTGGCCCCTGCCCAGCTCGCGCTCCCCAGCGGCGAGCGCCCCCTCCAGCAGCTCGCGTTGCCGCTCGGCGTCGCCCAGCTCGCCCAGTGCGACCCCGAGGCAGTGGCGGGCCAGTGCCGCCCGCCAGTGCCCAGGGCCATACTCGCGCTCGGCGATCGTGGCCGCCCTGAGCGCCAAGTCGCGGTGACGGCGCGCGTCTCCGAGCGCTCCGTGGGCAAGCCCCAGATTGACGAGGACCGGGACGAGCTCGCGGTGGTCCGTGCCGTAGTGGCCTTCCAGCGCCTCCAGCGACCTCTCCTGCAGGTCCCGCTGCCGCTTCGCGTCGCCGAGGGCCCCGCAGGCCGTGCCCAGGTTGGCAGCAGCGGCCGCCGACTCCCTGGAGCCTGGCCCCAGCTCCCGCTCCAGGATGGCGACCGCGCGTTCCAGCAGCTCCTTGCGCTCGGCCGCGTTGCCGAGGGCCCCCTCCGCGCTGCCCAGGCAGTCCAGCAGGGGCGCGACCCGCACGTGGTCGGCCCCGTGCTCGCGCTCCACGAGCGCGATCGCCCGGCGGGCGGCGGCCCGCTGGCCCTCGGCGTCCCCCAGCGCGCCCAGCGCCAGCGCCAGATTGCCCAGGGCGGGCGCGAGGCTGGCGTGCGCCGGGCCGAAGATGCGCTCCTGGATGGCGAGCGCCCTCTCCAGCAGGGGCCTCGCCCGGAGCGCGTCCCCGAGCGCAACGTGGGCACCCGCCAGGTTGACGAGGCTCGGGGCCACGTTCTCGTGCTCCTGCCCCAGGGCGCGCTCCTCGATTGCGAGCGCGCGGAGAAGCAGCTCGCACTTGCGGTGCGCGTCTCCAGCAGCGCCGACGGCGTTGCCCAGGTTCACCAGCGTGGGCGCAAGCTCTGGGTGCTCGGGTCCGAAGTGGCGCTCCTTTATG